TGAGGCGCTCCTAGTGCATCCTAGTGGCGTACATGAGAGGCGCGCGCTGGTCCACGGGTGGTAGTGTTCCTTCCACAGTCTTTCTCCTGTGGATTAGTAATGTTGACACATGCATGCACATTTGGCAACGTGTTGCTTTGTTTATGTTTACATTTCCTTATCTCGTGCTTATCTCTCTGATTTTTGTCTGCATGTCTGATTTTGCAAAAATAATTTTAAAACTTAGTTATTCTTTACATTTCAATTGTTTAACACACTAATTCCATGGTATTAAATGTTTTGTGAAGTGTATACACTATCAGTCGTTCGTTTCACCGGTAGATAATTCTCAATTTGATCAGTCATTATGCTTCTTGGAATCTAAACACCGATTATGGACCTTACATTTTTATTTGCCAAATTTTCACAATGCTGAAACTATCAATAATCGTAGCTTGTATCTCCATACTTTTATTTTACCTGTACTCCTTTAACAATCTAGCAATTCTCATCCCCAGCTTAATGAAATTTGCAAGCGATGTTCGCCACTCAATCGTTCGATTCAGCGAAGAGTTTATCAATGAGAAATATTTAAAGAATACAGCATCATCCGAGAGGTTGTTCAGCATCTCTGATTTGAGTGATTTCAATGGAGAAACCAGAAAGGAGCTGTACTTAGCTATCCTCGGAAATGTCTTCGACGTTACGCAAGGCCAAAAATTTTATGGACGTGGAGAATCATATCATCACTTTATTGGTGAGTATTTCCTGCTAAGAGAGCTCTCCTTAGCAGTTTACTGTAATGCATTCTCCTGGTTGCGAAGCTGCTTTCCCATGTTGAAACTAAGAACTCTTATACTTCTCTCTTTTTCACAACTCGCAATTCCTTCAAATTTGAAACAATAACCACTCTTCCCTAAGTAGCTGTTTCCCATGTAACTTTGGTTGGTCAAATCCTCAGCATTGATGTTGCGTCTATTATATTCAATCATATTGCAATACAAGGATGTAATCAGAGGTGTCGTCAGCTAAGTTGACAATTGTTAATTTTCGGTTTGCAAGCGCCAACGATGAATTTGAGCCTCTGAACAAAGCGGCGTTCGCTACTATCCACATTGAAAACATCAGTCTCATGATCGTATTGTTAAAAAACTACTTATCAGTTATGATTTGCGACTTTTTTGTGGTTGTGATTTCTGTGTGACTAAAAATTAAAGTGTTACAGGGTTTGAAAGTATTAAAAAACTTATCTAAGCTTGTGTTCTTGCTTCTGAGAGAGTCTAATGTTTTCATGTCTATAGTAGTGATAATAATAATAATAATAATAATATATTTATTAATGCAACAGCCTCATGAAATTCATA